GACCAGAAACGTCTATATTCTACACTCCACTCTCTTTTATCGACCTGGCGTGTGATATTTATCCTTGTTTTACGGCCCTTTTTTATGACAAAACAGTTCGAGCTGATCTGTATTCGAGGTCAAAGTCGAAGAAGTTATTTGGACAGAATACTTTCCATAACAATGATCATGAACAAAGGCATGACTTAATAGGAAACTAAAAGTGATTCTTTCGAAAACACAGAGATGATCAAAGTTTGACATGAAAACATTAGTTTATCGGCCGGCAGGCGACCGAGTCGCTTAATTGTGGTCTTGAAAGCGACATTAATGCGTTATTTAGTTTCGGTTATGCGCTGTTAATGAACTTCTGTAAATTCAAATATTTTGCATTTTTAAATTATTCTTTACTTAGCGAGAAATATAAATTTACTGAGTTCTGAGATGTAGTGCTTGGTCGAAAAACAATGCTAAAACCGAGCCAGTTTTATGACAGCTGTCACCTTTTTATGCAGTTCACATACAATGATAATCCATTTCTTACGAACGTTTCTAGGAATGATAGTTTTGAAACAAAAATCTAGCGAAAGTTGCTTGCTTCAGTTGCGACTCGTTATCACCAACCGAATTTGCGGGGGAAAAAGTTAATTGTTTCAGGAAGCAACCGCATGTTTGTATAAACAGAGAACATTTGGATATTTTGAGCCTTACCGTCAGAATTTGTTGTTTTTTTATGTTCATCCTACCTCTTGAGTGTAGCTGAAGGCAATATTTCAATCATGGAAGAGACACAAATTTCACTCACCAATCTTTTATAGCCCGGACTATCCTTGCTGTTGACACATATCGATTCCTGAACTTTCTTCTGCACCATATTTGGTGCTACAAATCCAATGACAAGGCCAAGGGCTATCACAGTGATTCCTGTCAAAAGTAATATTATTCCTGCCACTTTCTTCCGATGCATGATAAAGTTTATCTAGTCCCTCAGTTTCTTTTCTAGGGCTGGCGAAAAGACGATTTAGATTTCTTGCAACTGTGTGTTAACAAGATATTAGATAAAAAAGTAGTTAACTTTGGCTTCTTCTTTTATCGAAAAGGTACGGACCTCAAAGGTTTTCAATTAAAGGCGATGAAATTAGTATACGAACAAAGCGATCAGGCGCCAGCAGGAAGCTTAACAAGTTCTTCCTGTTCATTCCTAAACCCTTTAACTCCCAAGATATCATAATTAATTCTCCTTACTGTCTGCCATATAGTTCTTGTGATGTTAGTTTGGAGAATTTGGCATTGGATCAACTAATAATCCCCTAATTAAGAATTTGTTTTGTTTATTCGCGTCACTTGTCTGCTTGATATTGTATTGATTTTGTTGGGAGAAATTCTGTCTTGGTCACTCATGGGAGTTAAAGGATTAAACTATGCAAAATAACCACACAAAAAAAAGATTTACGTGCGACGTCGTTTATTGGAGATTTTTCTGGTTTTCTGAGAGACCTGAAACGCTGACAATTAGTCAGTTCCGCTTCATCTTCGCTGATATCCGGGTACCAAGCGCTATATACTTGGTTTATTTCTGATGTGATGCCCATAACCTTTGCGCTTCTTTCATTTTCTGGCGAGTGTTTTGTTCATGACATGTGACTCAATCTTCGTTCCTTCAGAGAGCTCCGTCAGCTTTTTTCTCCATTATTTTTCTGAACTGTTGTAAGACAGTCAAGTGGCAGTTCCATTTTTTCCGTCACGGTGGCAATGCCGGATAAGTACTTAATCATTGACCCTAAGGGAAACAGCGCACTTTGTTGCCTAGAGAGTCTCAATGTTCCTCGAGGCGAAACCGAAGTAAACATGTAAGGCCGACAGAAAACAAAACTTAGTGCCTCCCGAGGCGCTAGTCATTACTCGTTCTGCTATACCATCCAGCTTAAGAATGAGAAAAATTATATATGCAGGTCACCTTACGACTTTATTCAGTACAAAAACAACGAAAAACCCAACTGCAATTTAAAAAAATCGAAGTATCACAAACGTGAAAAACTTCTGTAGAAAATAAGGAGTACACCTTTTTAAAATTGATTTTACCAATAATAAAAAGAACCCGACAATTATAAAAGACATAAGAGTCGAAAGATAGGGCAACGATTCGAGGCTCATTTTTTTCGCGAGTTCAACGAGCCCGATAGTCCATGCCACGTGCTGGAAGCAACCTTGCGTTTGGCTGGCATTCTGATCAGGGGGAATTAGTAATAACTCTTGCCACTTTATCCTACTGAAATCATGAAATTACACGATGGGAATTCTCGCGAGCTGAAGTCTTTTTTTACCTGAACAAGGTTCTAGAATTGTCGACGGTACTGCGGTACTGTTGAAGTATCATTACGATCTTATCACTCTCTATGAGTATTGGTCTAAATGTGTACTCGTAAATGACTACAGAATTTACAAAAAAATGGCAGAAAAAGTTGTAACTGTCGGTGAACTTTTGAAAACGCTTTCACCTGGAATATTACGTTTCATATCTCCCATCTTTTGTTTTTCATCTTCCTACTTTTGGTTTCAGAGCTGTTTGTATAGCTCGATATACCTTTGTTATGCAAAATGTGTTCAACAATTATTTATGAATGGTCATGGGGGATAAGTTTTTTTCTCCGAGGCGAAGCCAAGGGGAACGCTTAATATGCGGGAAAGCAAGCAGGGTTAAGGTTGCAAATCTTAATTTTCTACATGAAAAAAAGTGTGGTCCTAAAATATAAAAAGTTTCAGTGAAGAATCAGGAATACACCGTTTTTTAAATTCCTTTTACTTATAATTAAAATTTATAGCAACCTGACAATTGTAAAAGGCACTAGAGGCAAATAGTGTGTCATCATTTTTTTTAGGGTAATTTGTTCGTAATTCGCCCTAAGGAGTTTATGAGTTTTTACCACTAGCATTTAACAAGTTCTTCCCTTATTGGAGAGAGTGTTTGAGTTCGGACTAGAGATTAAACAGTTTATAATCTTTTGGTCGTGAGGTATAAAAATTGGCTTTGTCCTTTCGGCCAATCGATATCATACGTTTTCGGCCAGAAGTTAAACCTTGATTTTTGCCTCTGTGAAACTATAAATAATAATGATATAAAATTCCTTCTTCTTCACTATCCAAATTTTCTTGTCCGGAAACTGACATACATAGTTTCTTCGTAGAATAAGAAAGATGGTAAGTTTTGAGCTCAGTAAAGAAATAGAGAAAGATGTTTTTTTTTCGTCTTGTCACGAGCGTGGGATAAAGAAAAATTCTGAGTTCCCATGAGGGGACTTAGAATGATGAGGGGACTCTTGGAGACTCAGAAGTTTTTCCTTTGTCCCACGCTCGTGACAAAGACAAAAAAACATATTTCTCTATAGTTTCTTTATTTTCGACGTATTCCGGCGTAACCGTTATCCCATCCTTGCACAGATGTAAAAGATACAGCCGATGACTTTTAAAGTACGGAACAAAAAGACCAAGAAACAATAGAGCCTGTACTACACGCTTAGATCTTATGTGAACAATATCTAAACTGAAAGCTACCAACAATGATATTCTTTAAAACACGCTAAATCCTCGACGCGAAATCCTTCATGCGAAACTCTCAACACAATACTTCAGAGCAGAAAAATGCTTAAATAAGACCTTCGCTTAGCAAGGCGCTCACCACAGATTATTTTCCTTCTGACGACTGACAGTTAAAGTTAGGTATGGAAACCTGTACTCATACGTTCAAGAAACTGACCTAACACTGCAGCAATACCAGATAAGTATGCCAGAAAATGAAAGAAATCATTGAAGAAAAGGTCAAAAACGGAAGACAACAGACCTTCGAAGTTTTCGTTCGCTAAACAATACTACAACAAAACATAGGGTATAACAGAAGTTTTAGCTGGATCTAGGAACAGTTGTGGCAGGATTTTTGTTAGATGCCTTCCCTTTAGTTTACATATCTACGAAAAGTTCAGTTCTACAGGTTCGTGTAAGAAATTCGTGGAAGCGGATATAATTTTCGTTCATTGTTCGGCAAAAACACAGCAAGCATAAAATTTCTGCATTGCTTCTAGCTGAGCTCTATCTTAAAAACTCATTTACACGGGATGATCGTTTTGGAGAAGATGTAAACAGGAAAAATGAACTTCCTTGAAGTGTTTAGAAGGTCTGCCAGAGAATCAGTTCAGCTGCTAACCATCCTTAATCGCGTTTCCAGGCTCAGCTCCGCGCCAGGTCGTACCTCTTGCACTTGAACGTTACCATCAATGTATTCATAAGCCCCCCCTTCCCTCCCTCACTGCTCTGCCGCTTCTCTAACTTAGCCCGTTGTATTAGGGAACCACATTCACAAAACGAGAACAATTGTTTTTTTCCTTTAACGTCAAGTATAATGGAAGTGTAACGCCTCAATCGACCGTGGGAGCAGTAACTGAGGTTGACATCAGCTCTTGTATTTTGTTATCAGTCAATTCCTTGCTCGTTCCTTAGTTTGAAATAGAGATTCATTTTCCTGATAAAGATCCTCGCGGATGTGCGACCTAAGTCCTTCCTAAACTCCTGACGACATTTTGAAAACCGAAGGCTTATACACTGAATTGTCAATATTTAAGAGCATACTAAGGTAAAAAGGGCGACAAAAGGGAAGGATTCCCTTCAACTCAATAAAGCTATTCTTGGCGAGAAACATGTTAAATCATAGCTTATCAAAAAAATTATAAATCAATACACAATCTACAAAAGCTCATGGTTTGGAAATAAAACACTTTATTGTTAATTTAATCAGTAACATTTTATCAAAAGTGTTTTTCGTGTCTGAACAAGTAGGATAAATTTTCTATATTTTCTTATATAAATATTCAGCTTCTCTTTTCATTCTTGCTATAAACCCGTATTTTCTATTCAGTTTCTCACTTTCTTCCTGGCAACGAGCTTGGAAAAAACCTTTGAAAACAAAATTGAGCTTTCAATATCATAACCTTTACAACAACTCAACCTCGTACCTATACTTTTACTTCCCCTCGCCGCGTCCAATGATGTAATAACGGGCAGTGATCCATATCAAAAACCGAGAGCAGGAGATGAAGTGAAGTAATTCCTGCGAAAGAAATGGCGACTCGGCGACTATTGGGGAATTCTACTTTCCTGCTTGTAGTAATATAGCACATTTAGCCTTTTTAAAACTAAGCTATTGATTCAACATAAGTGATTTCCAAATAAAATTTGTTTTAGATGATGTTAACTTAGGCGCAGACCAAGGTATTTACAATAGCAATGATTCATCTTTGATGGAATAATATTTACAAACGGTTAGTTGTGGTCGTTATCGCTGTCGCTACCATGGCTATTGCTATAAAAAAGTAGTTCTCTTTCCATGGTCTCATGATTTGTCTTATCAAATAAGACTCTTAAGAAAAAATCTGTAAAACTTGGTAAATCCAATTGGATTTATACTTAAAGGGTAGAGAGGGTAGATTGTTTATGTTTAAATGTAGTTTTAGCAGTCGAGTCGTAAAAAGTGTCAGAAATTGAAAGACGTGTATAGGAAACGGTAGCAATCCATGGTAGCTAAGCTTGGAAGGAACAATCAAGTGTAAATATTACATGTGAAATTCTCGCACTATTAATTTACACTTCCTAGACGGAAAGCTCAAGCTACAGTCACAGAGTCGGGTTTCTTGACAGCCATGAGAATTAAAACCACACCAACAATGACAAGGATCCCACCAATCACAGGTAAGGACACGAGTAAACCACACGACATTCGAAGGCTTCCAAACACCTGTAATGACAGAGAGATGATAAATTCTTCCAGAATAATTATCATCGCAGTAAGGTACACAAATATAGAGGAAAATTTATAACACCGTTAAACAAAAGAACACAAAATAGGCTTGTACGGAATTCCATCTCATATTGCTCCTTTTCTAGCCGTGCATTTCTTATACCGAGAAATCAAGCAAACTTTGAGATGTTTCCATCCAGGTTCGATATAAATCTGATCTGTCCTAGATGGATACATTTAAAGAATGGCAAAATCGTACGTAAATAGATAAATCAAAAGAGAAGTAGATAACTTGAGTAAAAAGGACATGAATTAATTAAATTTCGACCCGAAGAATGCAAACCAGTTGGCTTGCTACAAAATCATAAAAACGAGTTGAACTAGTGAAAACCGGGAAAAAATCAGATTGTGAGGATTGTGATGAAGGATTTGAGATAGTCGGCCACGCCGCTAACTCCGTCTCTCTCTTTTTTTTTCTCATAAATTTGCACCCCTCCCCGTTAACGATGACGAACGTCAGAGTTTTGATCGCATTGATGAAAATGTGGACGAGTTCTCCTTTTTCTCATTTGTAAAAGGGGAAGAATGAAAATAGATTTTCAAGGTATGCATATTTCTATGGTTTGATTGTTCATGATTTATTAAAATTGTTGTTTTTAGGTGCTGCAGCATACTGATCTAGAGCGAGGGCGGTGCGATGTGTATACATCTTATCTATTGGTTCGAGTGGGAAACCATGCCCATGAAATGAGTATCACCATTTGGACTGGGCTCCATAACGCAAAAGAATGGATCGTTTTAGGAGTCCTATTCGTTCATTTACCTGTGAGCTGTATTCCTTAGCCGTGTCTGCATCAATGGTTGCTTCTATTTCCGTCCACGACATAGGAATCAATTTGTTAACAAAGGTCACATTTGTGCCGGGAGGTGACAAGTCACTTGATAATATTCCATTCAGTTGGATACGAAGTTTGAGTTGCATAACGCTCCCAGATATCGGCTCAATACTCAGCTAGGACAAAGTATATATCTATGGTTAACCGAGGTGAAGATCCATATCAATTAAGCTAGCTAAGGTTAGTTCATATCGATTCCTTCGCTTTTCAGATATTCCTTTTATTAAATGTTAATCCTTTATCTCACCGAAAGATCTAGAAATCCCACCAATAGGTGAGGCGCCTCCTTAATCAGAAGCAAGTAAGATAAGTTAGAAACATGCTTGAATTTGAAACATGGACATGTGCCAACTCCCGTTCGAACGGATGTCCTTTGTGCAGCAGTGATTCAAAGAGTGGGCAAGAAATGAAAAGTTGGTGACGTACGTTGCTAAGTATTTATTATTTCAATATTGCACCATTTACCGTATTAGGGTAACGGAATGCGCAAAATATGCGACTATATTACTCTTAAGACCAGGTAGGTAATACAGACGGAAATGGAGCGAAGATATAACTGCTTTGAACGATCCAAAAGGTAGCTACTGTCTGTGCCATAGACAGCACTCCTAATCAGGACGTTTCCTACCCAAACAATCAGTTTAATCGATCGATTACCGATCAGTTGATAAAATGATCTCGATACCTTACATAAACTTACCAGGGACTCGTGCTCGTCTGCAGTAGGTTTATCAAGCCCCAGATCCTTGTGAAGAGACTCTTCTCCATAAAGAAATGCCGGTAGGCTGGCGTAGATGGGACCTTCCAAAACCCGGCTCACATCAAAAACACCTTTGGTGAACACGGTCACGTTATTTACCTCAACTGCAGCCTCATCCAATAAGTATTTGTGCATTGGAATTTCGTGTATTTCGACGTCCTCTTTGTATTTGACAGGAACAGGGAAACGGAAATGAGAAATGAAAATCTCATAGCTGTTTTTGGTTGGAGCGTACTTGGTTGAACAAGCTTTTAAACTTTTCCTTCCAGGAAATTGTGTGTAGTAGCCACGAACCTTGAGCTGTTCATTAGACGCATCTGGATATAGATTGGTACTAACTGTACTTTCACCTCCTACCGCTAAGAAACAAAAGAAAGTAAGAGTGATTATTCCGCTCAAGCAAGTCATACATCCCTGAAAAGTCCAATTCAAGTGGCCAGGGCTTATTTTGAATCGCTCGGGTATAAAAATAAAAAAAGAAAATCTTCTAATGAACCTGAGACATATTTGATCGGATCATGTAATGTTTGAGGTCGCCATAGCTCTCCAACTCTTTTTAAAAATGGCGAAGCCACTTCGATGGGAGAAGGTTTTATCTTTGGCCAAAATACTTATTCCCACTAAAGCTTTGAGTCCGGAAAGTCACCTTCAGAAATAGGATAATTTCTGCTTTGCGCAAAGAGAAAATTTTTTTTGTAACTTACCTTTCTTTCATCGCAAAAAGCCCCCTCAGATAGCTTGCTAACCTAATTTGAGGCTTGGTTTGAAGTTCTTTGAATCAGTGGAATCAGTGTTTTACATAACTTGAATTTGACAAACAACTTTGGAAATCTTAAGGAGAGGCTGGCGTAAATAAGACATATTTTTCCATATTCAGCCTAAAAACCTTCCTCCTCACTTACGATGTTGAATTCAACGATGTTGAATTCAACCTCTTGAAAATGCCGTGAAGATATTTGAGCAAGAAAGCTGTTCCCAAACTTTACCTGCAAAAGCAAATCTGTCTCCCGTGGATTCACAGGTGTGGAATGTAGAGCTTGTTGCCACCTTCGTGGCTTCAGTTTCATTGGCATGTGAGGTTACTATCCCTGGGATAGGTATTCCGGTTGGGTATCTTGGTAACCGTAGCACATACCCAATTGTCAAGTCATTCTGATTTCGAGTGGTCGTCGCCCCAAAGTTATTTTTTTCCAGAAAAAAAAGGACATATTTAGAAAGTTCATCGATGAAATCGCCGAGGGCTTGATATATGAGAATACTTGAGGTGTTGAAGCATGATGAGTTCAGATCTGGACACAACAATTCTTGTATAAATGCTGCAGCTTTAGGTTCCTTCAAGACGAATTTCAAGTTTAACGCAAGACCGCACTGTATACTGACCAAACTGCCGTTCAGGCATTTTTTTAGCAGTGGTGTGTCTGTAAATGGTCCGAATTTCGATACGTTCCGAAATGCACCGTATAAGCCGTTCATCTCTACCACAGAGTAGTTTTTTCGTAGAGACGAAAAACTTTGAGAGGAATTGATCCAGGAGCCAAAAGCAGGGTTCGATGGGTATTTTAAGTTTAGCTGATTTTCGGTGAGTCCCATTTGGAGGAGAATATCGCTATCATTCAGACTTTTCTGAAGTCCGACGAACAATACGTTCATCACGAGGGGTATAAGAGCCTGGCTCAGTGCCTTTCCTTTGGCGAGGTAACCTGCATTCAATATTGTTAGCTGAAAAAAAAATTATAATTTGAACAAAGGCGATTGGAACTATTATCTTTATATTATCTATATTATTATTATCATAATTACTATTATCATAAACACTATCTTGCTATTTTGTCATTCCACTTACGATCACTGTAATTAATATTATTATTATTACTATTATTATCGTTATCATCATTTCCATAATCGTAATCTCTTTTGCAACCAACAGTAGGAGTAAAGGTAGTATTTTTCTAGTAGAAATGGTCTTTATTTTTCGCTGATTTTAAATTTTCCATGATTACGGACGCTTTGATGCCGTGTTCGTAGATAGTTACTGGTGACTCAAATATATTAGTTGGCTTTATCAGGAACTTTCAGAGAGAAATCAAGCTTGTCTAGTGAGTTAATTGTCCTGTCGAGTTGTTTTATTTCTTAAGATGGTCAACAAAGGGTGATGTTAAGGTTTGGGTTTGAAACCGTTTCTTTTTGGAATTGGTTCTTGTATTCATTTTACAACAACACCGCTTCTCCTATCCGTTAAGATTGCTCTTAAATTAGAACGAACCTCATCGTCTTTGCCACATGTTGGACATTCTTCTCTGGTACGTGTCTTGTTGAATTCAGCCTTCTCGAACGATTTGCTTGTAACTTTTGCACCTTCGAACTTCACGTCAATTTGCTTTGATGTTATACTGTAGACATACGGACCTGCTTGACGAAGCTAAATTGAAGACAAAATACTGGGCAAAGTGACTCTTAAAAATTCTAACTTGGTAATATTAATAGAAAGCTACGGATGGAAAGCTACAAGCCTTTCTTACTTAATTACTGAGCTATTTATAAGGTTCGTAGTTGGATTGGGTGAAGATCTGGGGAAACCTAAATTTCAAAAGAAAACGGTTATGTGAAATAATTCTTTTGTCATGAGACCAATGTCCACCATGATTGTTAAAAAAAGCAATGTTGCAATCAGGTCGGTCAGATGAAAACTTCCCTTAGATTGTGCTGTCCTTGTGAAGCAAAGTTATGTTCTACCAGATTATCCAAATCTTTATTTATCTCAAACTGATGAACATCAGGGAGGCATGTCCACACTCTCACACGACATACGTGATAACAGTGGGACCACGGGATAAAATAACTAGTTCTCCTGAATTCACGAGGAGTAGCAAAATATGTTTCATATCACACGGTCATTTTCGTTTAATTGTACCTGTGGTTTTTCTCCTCGTAGAAATCCATCTTTGTTGGTGATATTCCAGTAGTAGACTCTTGTTGTGTAATGACTGGGGCCCTCCTGGAGATAAAACATAGTGTTTACCGTTGAATAGCTTGACTGGGAGGTCGAAAAATCATGAAATATCTAGATCTCTTCTCGCTTTTTGTTCAAACCAAGAAAATGGCAAATCTTATAACAAAGAGTAACGCATTAAACACATTTTGATAAAAGTCATGGCTTGAGGCATTGCTTCTTTCGCCACCTCATTGGACTGGAATTGGACGGTTGAAATTGACATATTCGAATATAATTTCCAAAACTGTTTTTCACCGTGGGTAAGGTTTTCTTGCACTTCGTGAATAGGACCGACATTTATTTGCCTTAGTACGAATCGAGATTCCCTAGATAAAAGTTTGACTTCCCTGACTGTACGGAATGCAGGCCAAACTCTGGAATGCACCCCGCTCTCAGGATCAGCGCTTTGAGATTATCATCAGTAAAATACACTAAACACTCACCCATCTTTCATATCCTGGGCTGTCCTTGCCGTTCACACAAACTGATTCTTCAATTTTCTTCTGAGCTGCATTCGGTAGTAGGAGTCCAATGATAACACCAATTATTACCAAGACGAGCCCTGTTATGAGCAGGGCCACTCCGGCAACTTTCTTGCTGCACATGGTTATTTCTCGTTTCCTTAATCTAAGGGGGACGCGTTGAATTAATCTGTCAGTGCTCAATGATTCGAGCGTCAGTAAATCCCTAAGTTTTCAACGTCCATTCACTGGTTACTCAAATTGGAATATAACGTTAAAATCGTTAAAATTTTCTATCGCAAACAAATCATTGCCACTTCCCTCTTCCACCCACGACAGGCGTCACGCAATTCAATTCAATATCGGTCCAACGGTGGAACCAAAAAAAAAAACATCAGCATAGATATATTGTAAAGTGGCTGCTTATGAAGCTGTTTACTCTCTAGATTGATCTATTCCACGCCATTTTGTGTCTGTGCCTATTGGCAAAAGTGGATAGAGATAAGCGTTCTACTTGGCTAGTTACAAAACATTTGTTTCCTGCCTTAAGAAATGATTTTTTATTGAAAAAGAACGCACCACACCATTTGCCGTCTCTGCAAATGCTCGATATATCTCTTTGACTCACAGGTAGGAATGATTGCAAAAGATTTCTGTTATCCATTTATCTTAAACTTCTTTGTAGAAGCTCAACACCAAATTTTTTCCTTGACTCTCACAGCTCGGTCGTAAATCGATCGGCTGCAAGTTTATTTTGAATATAGTTATCTGGAAATTTTCAATATTCGAATGATATTTTCCCAAGGAAAGCGACCGAGGAGTTCAATCCTGCAGTTTTACGATATGTCAAGCTCACTATGACATGTCGAGTAATTTACATATGTGTTTCAAAGGAGCAAAGTCAAAAATTACTTTCAGTTTATAAAACCCACTAAAAATTGAATCATTATGTTAAGAAAACAAAGTAATCAATGCCAAAGAGGAACTGAGGCAGCCAAGGATGGAAAATATTGACAAGGTTCAAAAGGGGCTCGTGGCACCTCCCTACACACGGACCCTGTCAAACTAATGTCTGAATTTTTTATTTTTGCTTTTGTTTTTGTTTTTTTTCAAATTGGCGACAATTTCTGCTGAAATATCAGTTGACAACATAGACTTCACAAGGTTGGTAGATAAAGAGAGCCTATTTTGATGCTCTCATAATTCTTTATGTAGTTCATCATTTGAATGGTTTTAATTATGCGTGAACTCGTCATATACCTAGCTGCCGAAAAGTAAATGCCTACACAAGAGAATCGTTTAGAAAGCAACGATGTCCATGTTAATATAACCTGATGACTTGCATGGTATAGTTCCACCGACCGAAGAGGAAAAAAACAAGCCTTTGGTTTACGTTTTCCAAAACCTCGTTAGAGTGAAAAGCTGGCATGGCTGGAGTTATGAAAGTGAACCCCTTAACGAGTCTTAATTCTAAGCTTACCGTCACTGCGATAAAGGCCGGAAGTTTTCAAGACCTTGCTGATAAATAATTACAGAAGAATGATTTGCATTTGGCCAGAAGACTGATGCCTTTAATCGGAAATTACAGTGCTACTTGAATGAACAGGGCTACTTGAATAGAACCGGGTAAATCGCGAGGAAATCGATTCAAGAGATGATCTGCATCTCAAACCACAAGCAATAGTACATTGTCCGCTTAAAAGAATAACTGTACTGGAGAGGAAAAAATTCTAACGGAATCGGTAAAATATGTAGCACTAGAATTAAATGTGATTAGACGCCAACTGCACGAAAATGATTTGATCATGGCTTGATTCGAAAAAGGTCTGTCGAAAATGCAGTCAATTGAGTGTTTTTGAAGAAATAGTAATTCTCTGTAATTCAGAAGATCTACTTGTCTCTAAAGCATTAGTCCAATACAAATCTATCTCTTTGTCAAAACGACGAAAATTCTGAGCTGATTCAATTTGTTGGTCAGGGTTATTGCCATGGTTAAAAAAGAAGTGGGTAATTGCATTTGGGAACTGAGAAGTTCCTTCTCGCTGAGCATTTCATGAAATTAAACGCTTTCTTAGTTTTTTGTTCTTTGGTGGGTTAAAATTTTTCTTCTTTCATCAAACATTCGTTTAATAATTTGGATCGGTGTCACTGAAGATCTAATCGTCTTTCGAACTAATTCAAACAGTGACAGCTGAAAAATTGCCGTATATTTGGAACTGAAGACAACCTTGATGCCGCAATGCCAGTCTCTTAAAATTGAACCCACTTTGCAAGCTGTAAAACAAATAGGCTTCAACAACTTTGGCCTTTTGGAATATTACGCGGTTCGATTATGATGTATGAACTGAAAGGGATTTTCAAAAACCTGAAAATCGCAAATGTTTTTTTGCAATTGATACTGATGTCCGTGCTAACTTAACGGAGATGGTGAATTTATCAGCTCACTTAGCTGTTTTTTCCCCCAGCGGAAAGCATGTTTATTTGCATTGCGCATGAACTCGGTCGTCTTTTCTAATTCAATATTAGACTCTCCTTCCTCTCCACAATTGTCATTGTGCGGTTCTTTCTGTCGTTGATTTACTACCAAAGGTGCTGAATTTACCTACCTTTTGTATTCTTAGCATATCTGGTTTTAAGCTAATGACTAAAGTAACGAAGAAATCCTTTGCGAAATTGCTCTTCATGAAAATATTCTATGACTGGAAAGGAAGCAATTAGTCTTTGGACTGACTGCACATAAACGATGGGGCAAACGTACCTTGCCTTTTAAAATCCGTTGATTTCCCTCGGTAGCTACAAGAGAAAGGTAGTTTTGTCAGATTTAAGCGAGTTTCGTGTGGTTACTGTGCATGTTGATTAGAAACGCGCTCCGGGCGAGTCAATGAACCGTCAGTATTTTTTTACAGCTCGTACTTATACCAAAGCTAACATGAATCATACCTTATTTGACCACCTGCACTTTTGACAGATCAGGGTGAAAACAACTAATGCACGTGTCCTCGGCAACGTCTTTTGAAACTTCACAATTCTCAGCTGGCTATTCTAGGAATAAATGGAATAATTTCGCTGAAGAAATGTTTCTTTAATTCCCTCGGTATCAAATGGAAAACCCTGAAGCCATCTTTCAATGCAGTTTTTCATACTCATTAAACAACCTATTTTTAAAAATACGGGTTGTAATAACAATCTCCATGTGTAAATAATATCATGTAGACCACGAATTGTTGTTCAGAGAAGACGATTTAAATACGGTAAAAAAGGGACTAAATATTCGTAACAATGTCCAGTTGTCTTAGTTGTATATAAGAGTGGCAGGACGTTAAAATTATATTAATTATATTTAGTAAAGATAGGATTCAGATCGAAGCAAGCCATTTAGGTTCCGGAAAAGTTAGGAAACTTTCAATGAATAATTTTGTTTGGAATCGCGATGAACCTCGATGTTTTGGCGAACGAAGATGGCTTTTATGTTGGTACATAACCTAGAATGGTGTTTGCCGTGTGTTTTCTTCGTGATAGAGTTTTGCTGTATGATTTGCATCGTAACCAAGTAACACTGTGGGATGGAAACCGCAATTTTTATATTCAATTACTAAATGAGCAGCAATTCAAAAGTCCTAACTGCACTTAAAAGCGGATTAACTTGACTTCTTTCCTTTCTTAAAATTCAGAAATGTATTCCTCAATTTTCATATATCATCAATATTTTAATAAAAGTTGCTCTTAAAAAATTCAATACCTCCTACGCTCAGTCAAGTTCCGGTTCAATATTCGCGGGAAATAGCCGCATTTATTTCACGGCAACCTAATGTATTAGTTCGAATCTGATTGTATTCACTGCATATCTTAATCTATTTAAAGAGAATCGAATTTAGTCATTACTTTATGCGAAAAAGCAACAATGTTTTTTTTTTGTATCGTCTAGACTTTCATAACTGAGTTTTTTAAACTTTTTTTAGTTTTTTTTAATTACGTGCTTTGTCGTCAGCAGCGACTTTCCATTTGGAAACATGATCGGGTGAATGAGAAAGACACTTTGTTAGGGTGCAGCTGGTTCGCTTTGAAACTGAAGCATACGTAGAGGAATATTCTCTCTTAGGACTACTAGTCAAGGACAATCAAATATGATAACGTAAAACCTTACTTGATTTCTCAGTTATCAGAACTAAAAACTACCATGATTATCATAAAAAATGAGCAATATTAGCTTCATGGGATAGTAGGGCTCGATGTGAAAAAAATCTGACTGTTACCTGAAATCTGTAAAAAAAAACCAAAAAAAAACTGATGACTACGACATCTCTGAACACACGATGGTTTTTTTTTTGCAACGTGCAGCAAAGCTGTTAATTTCAATCATCTTCAGCACAGTTTCTGGTGAGGAATAAAGAGTTTCTGGTGAACTGATTTACATTCTTAATTCTAGATGCAATCGATCGTTCCCAATATAAGAGATGGATGCTTTTTGGGACAAGGAAGCACCTTTGAAATATATTTTTTGGGAAACACATAGTATTATAAAGCTCGTGGTCACAAGGGGAGGTACATGTAACACATTTTAATTTGAACCGGCTCCAGTTCCGCAAAGACTTTTCTTTTCATGCAAAGTAACTTAAAAAACAAAAATGGCTGATTAGAGAAGACAAACATGTAGGAAACAAGGATATACCAATAAGAAAAAGGGTGGCTTAGAATAAACATCGCCAATCATGATGGTTATAGATATATTTTAAAAATTTCCATGTGAATTCTTTAATTCCGTCATTTGAATTCAAAACAAATTTGCACAATCTATCTCAGTAAATAAATTACAATGGTTGAAAGGTAAGAAAAGAATCGGATCTACAAGTTTGCGCTGAAAAAGATTGGGCAATGTGCAACTTTATATGCTTATACAGAGTCAGCAAAATTCCTCTCAGCTCAGTACATTAGACTCCAAAGTAAAGAAGATGGCGTTAAGAGAAATACTTTTTGTTCGAAACGGCACAACTTCATTCAGGTTATATGAAACAGTATTTAATCATTAGAATTGTCTTGTGTTAGCAATTAAACAAATTTGACACACCAACGAAAATAAAAAGGAAACATTTCACAATTAATAATTCCAATTTTCCTTTGCCGTTTTGATAATTTAAAAAATAACATGCTAATAATTTGGAAAGGCGTGGATTTAACGTCTCGATAAAATGAGTTTGACCCATTTTTCGCCAGTTTTACTAGTAATTTTGTTAACTTGAAGCGTGTCTGGTCCTGTAACTTTGAAGCTTTAAACCGTGTTTGGAACATTCAGTTGTTAAGTTGATAATATTCGCAGCCGCTACTATTCTGCAAATATTTGTTCACCAGCTGGTTGCTTTGGTAACGGAGGTACAGAAGCAAACAAAATATATTCAAAAAAAGTGAGAGGAGTAATTTCAAAGTGTTTTATTTTTTAGAAACAATAATTCAAGAAAGAGGTGCTTAGCGTATTTCTATCGCCGTTAATTAAGGATGAAGTATAATTCCGGTTTTCGAATGTTCAGGAATAAGTAATTATTGCAAAACATTTACGATCACCCTAAATTTTCCAGAATGATTGCTACATCATCAAAACCGTAGAAAACTCTTTTTTCCATTACTTTTTCTTTAGGAATGGTTGGCTCGTTCCTTCAAAATAAACATTTATTGAAAGTTGGTCTCTTAACTGAAATTTTGTAAGAATTAATATTCCCTAGCCCTAACAAACGAATTGAATTAATTAACCAAAGAAAATAAATAATGCTTGAAGCAGAAAGTAAGGCGGACATGATAATTTCTTAAAGCGATTTCGATTAGTGCAACATTTCGTGGGAAAGTGAGTAATATTTTGTTTCGGTAAAAATAAAAGTTGGGACTACCCGCTGTGTCGAAGAAAGTAATCAGCCCTTTAACGGCAAAAGCTGACAAAGCAGATGGTCTTAACTTCACCAACGCTAAAACACAAGTTTATAAAACCCCTTTTGAAGATGGTTCCTGGCTTTGACTCTCGCCTAAACACTTTTTTCCTTTACGGAGGAATTAATTTCGATCGGTTAATTCTAAATCCATGGTGTAGGTTTTCATCTGGGTGGATCGGACATTTCACTTTCTTGAATTAATCTTTCTATTCTCGTAAAGATTAAAAATTGATGTTAGAGAAAACTTAGCACGTCTTAGAATAGCATCTATAACATGCATCACCTTAGCTAAATTTTCTCTCAATACAATCATTTGAAAGCCTTTACCATTGAAACATGGGAGGGATTTCAGCGAATGTGTGTCAACATAAAGTGATCTATGCAGAATCGTTTCTGAATAAATAAGCATTTCATATTGAAGGTTAAGCTCGAGAAAAAAAGTTTTCCCTCAGTTATGATTTATTTGTTAATCTTACCTTTCGCCCTGGAGATTCCTTGAGGAGGCCTTTTAATATCTTAAAAATGGATTCGTATATAAGGATTTTCAGTTGTCAAGGATGCAAAACCAAAATAACAACTGTACTTAAGCTTGGTAACGAGGTTTTGATCAAGTCTGTATACAATTCTTCCCTGATTTCTAAAGAGCCTCGGCTTGAAGCACACTGTTTGGTCGCCTAATTAAAGCCTCGTTATCGGGAGGACAAAAGTCGTTTTGGCTTACAAGGTGATGTATTCGAAGCACCGACTTATTCTCAAACAGACGCTGTGAACGGTCAGTTATCCAGCGTTAAAAACGTAATTCGAAACCACTTCTTAATTCCACGAAACAGGTTTTTGACGCGTAATTTCTGTAAGACTAGAGCGAAATTTCCTTCGGTAAAACTGTTTAAGCTCTCTCCGTAATAAGAATTATTTACCACAAGGAAATACACCTGTCATTTTATTTTGGTTGTTTTCTTCACTAACAGTTAATTGACAGGCGTGTTTGAGCCATGTCCGTTTTTTTTAGACATCTAATTGGATAATGGTTGGTTTCATCACCTCAGTTTGTCAGCTTTTGTATTTTATCAAATTAATCAAATTTTTGTCTGATGTAAATTTAGCTACATTTTTCACATCGATTAATGACTTGAGAAATGATTGAGATCTTCATGAAAGGTTTGTAATATTATCATGTTTTTCTCTTTGTCTTGCCATGTGTTTCCATTTATCCTTTACATGGAAATTAGGCCTCAACTGAGAAATAAAATGTTCATACGTTCTGAAACCCTGGATGTCTTGATATTTATAACTTAAACTCAAAGCACAATTAAAATTGGTGAAATATTTTAAAACTGAGAAGTTGAGAATAAAACTTGAAAATAAATTTAGGTATTGATTTTTTTAAGTGTCATAAAAAATAAAAGTGGCCCCTTTACAGCACTAAATGAGTAGGTTCAAAATTTCCTTAGCCGTAATGAAGAAACGGGTTTAACGACAAGAATTATGCTTATGTTTAGGTTAGTTGTTTGTGCCGCCTATTGTGCTTGACTACAGCGCTAGCTTTATTATTAAAACAACAGCATGCTTACATGAGGTTCCCAACATGGCGATGGCCTTTACGGCTTACGACCCTATTGAGACCCTCTTATAAGAAGTTAAGATGACTGGCAGAGCATACACGGACGTCACCAGTTGTATTCCCCGGAAACCTCTTTTATTTCCACGCATAGCCTGAGAGCGTGCCCTCGTAATTTCTTCGGCACGAGGGGCGAAACACGTGAAATTCGAACCAATGAGTTGTTTGCAAGGGGTCTGTGAACGGTCTAGCCCTCATGAGAGCTTGGAAGGACGCCGTTGTTTACCTAATTTAGCGCGTTTGCCGACGAAGGCAGCATTTTGATTGATCAGGAATAAAAGGCCCTGTAATCATGACACAGACCAGTGATTAACTGACGATCGCAGTTGGATACAGGTACTCAAATATTTTTAAAAACTATCGATTGAAGTAAATGTTGCAGTCGATCTAAAAGACGTGCAGCTAAAAGCAATTGTCTTCCAGAGGTTGGGGATGTTTTTGTTGTAATGCCAACCGGATACGGTAAAAGTTTCATATTGCTACTGTTTGCAACCACAATAACAACTGTGAAAGTTTGTGAAGGACAACACTCGCAGAAGTTGGTTGAGAAATCTCATAATGCGGTAACCTTGACGGATGGGAGGCTCGTTAGGGTAATAATGGAGATTTTTGCTTTGAGTTTACAAAAATTGGTTAGTTTCGTGCAATCTGACCCAGTTAGCTTTGTTTACAAAAAAGCACTAAAAACTGACATAATTTTACAAGCTCACTTTAAAGATCTGTTCTGGCGAGTTTTCAACCCCGTATGGATGAATAAGTGAATAGGGTTCCTGCCAAAATACAGCGACTCAAGCACTGCCACAGCTCTTTTCCAGTAAAGAGAAACTCCATATCTGAAAGCAACCATGTATTATTTGGTTTATACAATAGACCTTTATTGACAGAAAGACGCCGAAGTCATCATTAGCATATCTCCCAGCTGTCGATTTTTGTTCTCAGCTGCAAGAAATGCTATTACCAAAGTCAAGTAACTTTCGGTTTTTTTCTGCTTTTCGAAAAATCTTGAACGTTACTGTTTGTCAGCGGTTCGAATTTTTCAGCGTTGTTAGAGGCTATAATCCGAGAAAATTTTCGAAAGACGTCCTTCGCTTTAGAAAGGTGAAGACTTTGGTATTCATTCATCAACCTGGCAGAGTGGCGCAAAAGGCGAGTTACGTGTCAGCAGCTGATTGGCGATATCAAACACAAGTAGGAAATTTATCGCAGATTTACGTGTGTGCTGTTATGCTTTCCTCAGGGCTGGATACCCTTATATGTCTTTATTACTGAAATCAACACTCCCACAAATAGACTAATAACGAAATTATTCTATATAAGTATAACTTAACATGAACACTTTATTCTTCTGATACATTACGGCTATTGTTTCTACAACGGCTTCAGTTCTGATGCACTCTTAGAATAGTGCATTAACACATAGATAACTGGACACAAGAATATCAAGGTTAAACAAATATTGCTGATTCTAGATACTTCCGATACTTGCATGTTAAATTGCATATAAACAGACCTGTTTGAGAACCAGCATTGAGGTAAGCAGAGCTAAACTAAAGAAACATTTATTGGAACTTTTATGATCAAAACCCAGTCGACCAGAATTTTTCCAAACATATCCTTTGTAATTATAGGAACGCTCAACTTAATTATTAGAAAAGGGTGTCAATGGGGTGATGGCTTTTACGGCCACGAAGATTAAATTTTTAACCATTCTACGTTCAACGGTTAACTTCCTTCCTTGGTGAGTATACGTAAAAAAATTAATGGTTTCCTTTTTGACTTGTAACAGTTAAAGTTTTTCAATTTTTACGCCTAAAAGCTAATTTTTTAGGCCGTTTTGCGGCTAGTGGTTAACCTCATCGAGACCCTTTTGAAACATTCTAAATTTGGAAAAGTGCTGAAGTAATTTTACTCCTAGTTAGTATTTGACTATATTCCTAAATTGTGGAAACGCTTCAAACTGACCGAAATCTCACTCATTTTACAAGTGAAATATTCACATATTTAAGTAAACCCCTCTAAAAGCGTAAAACCCCTTAATTTGAAAGTTAGTAATATGCCATTAAGGCTCAGTAAGTCTAGACAGGACCTAAAGAGATCTACTTCGTTCAGCAATTACACGAAAAAGATATACTGACATCATCTGGGCTGACGTTACTTACCCGAAGTTCAAAGTCGCAGGTCACTGTCCGTTGACAGGTTTTCAGAACTTTCAAACATGGTTTCACATGTCCGCGCTCGATGAATATATTTATCACAAATAAGGTCAATGGAAGGTTCTCGATCACTGTACATGATCAACGCTCCAAGATCCCTGTTTGACCTGCGAAGAACTTCCACCACTTCATCCGATCATTAATAGAGTGATCACTCTTTCCCCCGCTAACATGGCGCACACGTGTGAGTTTCCTATTCCTTTCAAGCCTTTCAACTCATTCAAAGGCGCACGAGCCACGAGAATTGAGGCAGAAAGCTCGACACAGCGAATAGCCTCAAAGTGAATGGAACGTCAAATTGGAACGCCAGCATTTCTGAAGTGAAGATTACGGCAAAATGGCGGCATTTTAAAACTTCGCATTGTTCGCTTTCATTTTGCTGGGATAAGCTCAAAACAAAACAGATAAGCTTGCCGTTTTCAGGAGAATTTCTGTCGAACATCCTCAGTGACACATCTCACTCAAAAAAAACCGATTCTGTTTCAGTGATAGCAGTGCTAGAGTGCATGGACAGTGAGAATTTGATGAATTTCTCGCCTTTTTCTCCATCACAGAATACAGGTTTGTTAACCACGAAAAGTATTTCTTAATGATTAAAGACATAGATCGAAGAGAGTCTTTCACCCAATAATCCATTTTTAATTATTACTTTTTTACACCAATAACACTTTTTAGTCTGCATGTACTAAAACTATGCTTAGCAGCAAGTAGCTTAGCCCAGCCCCCAATGCTTGAAGTTCCACTGTTTCTACTGAACGAAGATGTATCCCATAGCTTTGATGAATTTGTCGCCTTTATCTCCACCGTGCTTGGCCACGTCGCCACACGAATTGGTATCGTCTGGATATCCAGCGGTACCAAATCCGATTCGGGAATCACTGGTCGTGCAAGCGTTTTCATTGTTGCCCACGATACCAATTCGTGCTTTCGAAAAATTTGGCACATCGCTCACGACGTTGAAGCCTTCTTTGTTGCATTTTTGCTGTAGGGAGGCTTCACTGATGAGATTCTTCCATGCTTCTCGGCCCAGTGAGGTTTGGCGATATTGGCCATCAGCTATCAGGGAGTGCAGCGAGCTTGCCTCCTGGTTCAAAACGATGAACTTACTTTCCGCACCAACCTTCATACCCAGGCAGATCTTTGTAAAGGAGGTGCTCCAATAGGTTGGCAACTTGGTCTCTCCGGCCTCCAAATTTCTCCCGTTTGAGGGTTCGTATTCTTTCTTGTCGCTCCAGAAAGATGAGTCATATTTGAATGTGGACTATAAAAGTAAACAAAAGAGCCTTAAATTTTGCATCGTGTTGCACCCTTAAGTCGCCCTGATAGTAAATAGATACCCCGAATAGCATTTGTTTAAAAAAGGAATTTTATGTCTCCCCTTTCACTTCATAAAATGCGCGACTCAAAATTTTAGAATTTTGTCGATAAAGTTGTCACAAGGTCCATCCCATGTGATGATTGTTATAAGACTGGAGATTATCTTTCCTTTTTTCAGCATTAATTAAGCAACAATTATCCTATTCTATCTGCTTCTTTGCAGGTAGACTGAAAGCTTACCGTTAATTAAGACCTTTTTGGCCGGAGAACTCTTCTATAAATATTTTTGTTAATGATCCTGGTAACAGATATCCGATGTTGTTGTTCCAGTTTTTCTGCTCACACAGAAGATGTGCCCATTTGCAATTTGAGTTTGATAGTTGCTACATACTAGAGAGGCACTTTGATATGGTGCTAAATTACTGCAAAGTGTATCAAGAACGGACATGGAATGCAACTGACTTAATCATTGCAGCTAACATATGTTAATGACACTCAAGGAAAATGTGGAATGAAACTTAATCATTGCATCTAACATATACTAATGAAAAAGTTCACGTGAAATATTTCAAGGACAGTTCAAGGACAATGTGAGTGGATGAAATGGCAACTCTTAAACTACCTTTGCGCCATCAATCTTCATGACCAGCGTCCATCCTCCACCTCCACAGTCGCCGAGACCAGTGCCATCCATGTTACAATAAACAGGCAGTTTCGTGAATTCGTCCACCTGGAGCATGTAATCCTTGTTCGCTCTTAATCCACAAAAAAAAAAAAAAAAACTTTTTTATTAGCATAAATGTGAATATTTTTTATTTCCAGTGTTTTTTGTATAAGCTTAAGCATTAAGATATTATGACTACTTACTTTTCCCCGTCTTCAAAGCCGTATTTGCAAGACATGGGTGGTTCTGGAGGCGGCTCTAGATAAAAAAAAAAAAGGGATACCCAAAACTTTAAACTCTTCTTTTGGATTTTTCAAGCCTTGGTTTCACAGATTTTCATAGAAAGAGATAAAAAATTGAAAATATGAAGCAAGTAAAGATTCGGCGAATTAAATTGAAAACTACATTTTTAAACTACCTGGGCAAGGACAGTTTAAACTCTCAATCATTTCCTTGAGCTCATCCCACTTTTCGTCCGCTGTCTTGCAGTATTTGCTGGCTCCTTCTTCAGCATCTGTGAAAATAAGGTAATGCACCAGGAAAATAATTGCAATAACCTTCATGTCTGCAACTTCTGATCCTTACTCTCCAAACTAAACTGATCGGGTTTCACTCGCAGTGAAGAAAGATAATTTGGAAGTTGAAGAGATTATTGTTAATAAGACCTTGATTGCTCTTCAGCTTAAAAGCCAAATTCTCCATAACATAGGCCACAGTAGTTCTTACATTTGAGAGAGAGTTTTCAAAAGTTTATCATGTCCGACACATCGATTGGTTTAACGTTTTCACCAACTGATTATGCAATGTTCAGCCATTCAGAGAAAAACTATTAATGAAGGTTTCTGAAGTAAGTCTAAATAACTATAGTTACGAACGCCTGCCAAAATGACCTGGATAAACATATGTTGATTGTACGGACGTATATGAACAGGTACTTGCAATTTAACAGGAAGATTCTTTAATCAAATGAAGGGTTTACGACCCGGGTCCACTTTGTGTAGTTATGTTTAAGTCTCCGAGTGTGTTCTGCAAAAAATATGCTTCGTGATGAATAGGAATACCATTCAGGGTGTTTTCCAAAATTCAACACAAATCATTCAGCCTCGTGAAAGCAAATGTTGTGGTCCGACATAAAACAGCAGGTGAGCCATGAAGATGCAGCGTCGTTTTACAGCCATGAAAGACTGATAAAATTATCAGAGAAATAATGGTGGATAACACTTATCGCTACCAATGATGGTTTCACATGTCTGCGCTCGATGAATAAATTTACTGCAAATAAGGTCAATGGAAGCCTCTCGATCACTGTACATGATCAACACTCCAAGATCCCTGTTTGACCTGCAGGGAGTTTCCACCACTTCATCCGATCATTGATAGAGTGATCACCCCCTTTCCCGTGAACATGACGCGCACGTGCAAGTGTCCTATTCCCTCCAAGCCTTTCAACTCATTTAAAAGCGCACGAGCCCGGAGAATTGAGGCAGAAAACTCGACACAGCGAATACAATCTCAAAGTGAATGCGCATGCCTCTAGCGCACGGGAAATTTTACATGCGCAAAGAAATGGGAACGACAACATTTCTGAAGTAACAAGATTACGGCAAAATGGCGGCATTTTTAAACTTCGCATTGTTCGCTTTCATTTTGCTGGGATAAGCTCAAAACAAAACAGATAAGCTTGTCGTTTTCAAGAGAATATCTGTCAAACCTCCTCAGTCACATATCTCACTCAAAAAAAAAACTGTTGCGGTAACAGATGTAAGAATGGCTACCGGCTAAGTTCGTAGTGACTTCTCCCGCTTTAGCTGTCTGGATGAATTTAAAACAGCTTACGATGAACTCTAGTCGAAAGTTGCTACATACCCCTTAGACCTTTCCATAGGAACAAAATTTATCATTAGTCCACTTGGTTCTCAACAGTAGCAGTCTAAGAAAAGTGCAAAACTATGTTCTGTTCTTCCCCCAACAAAGTTCATTTACGCTGCATTCATGAAAAGCCCTTCGAATGCGCCAAATTCGGTGAGCATGCGCTCTCATTTTGCCGCTGTGTCGAGGTAGAATGTACCCTACCACTAGGCTTGCAATACTTACTGGGTCTACGATCCCTGATAGACCCGGTAGCTATGTTGCCGAAAATGTGTGGCTGTCGTTGTTAAGTGACCTTTCAAGTGTATAAAAACTGCTTCATCCTGTTTGAATAGCTGGGTTATGAAATAAATGATAATTGAAAGGTCAAATCAATGGGTAATAGATGAATAATGGTATGGTATAGCTTACTGTGGTTACCAGAACTTGAAGCGGACACATTTTGATTTCTAAGCATTAATTAGCTGTTGAGCCAAAGCTAAGGAGGAATTTCCTCATTTACATTGTACTTCCAATTTGTTTTGTTGGTAACGGTTCAGAGTTCGGACTCAATGATAATTGCTTCCTGGGTTTGAGTTTTTAGCTATGTAGCCCTATAATATTTTGCATTGTGTAAATAGACACTACCAATTCTTACGCCACAACATCGAGTACACAGATATCTAATCAGAGTGCGTGTTAATCAGTGTGTGTCGGTGTCATGGAACAGAAAACAAAGACAAATAATGAAGTGCAAAATAGAACTAATGCAAAACAAAAGAAAACGAAATTACGATCTGTGGTGCATCCATGTGAAAAAAATTATTGATAAATGATTCAAACGCTCAATAAAACTAACGTAGATGATGGAGATGAAAATTACTTAATTGAAAGCAACTATGAAATAGACAAGTACTAGCGAACGAAGCCAAACGCGTATTGATGGGAATAAATATGAACAGTTACGTAATCCTCGCGCAACTTCACGCAAAACCGTGAATAGAATAGAAAAGAAATTATAGTTGCAACATGTTGTGTGATTATAAGCAAAGTTTATAGCAAGACATGCTTTTTCCTCACAAACAACTTCATTTTTCTGCGATACCCCCTCGAGAGTTCTTCGATAATATGTTGCAGGCACAGTCCTTGTAAATTTAAAACAAGCGGCTACTCAGTCATACTTATTTCAACTACCGTATTAATTCGACTTAGCATCCTCTTTGCCATAAGCGCTGCCCTCTAGAGAGCTTCCTCCCTCGAAATTTGTTTGTATTAACGAGTGCCCCTATTCTAATACTCGTTCCGATTCTGTTTCAGTGATAGCAGTGCTAGAGTGCATGGACAGTGAGAATTTGATGAATTTTTCGCCTTTTTCTCCATCACAGAATACAGGTTTGTTAACCACGAAAAATATTTCTTAATGATTAAAGACATAGATAGAAGAGAGTTTTTCACCCAATAATCCATTTTATTACTTTTCTCAACGATAACACTTTTTAGCTTTAGCCTAAAGCTTGAAGTTCCTCTGTTTCTACTGAACGAAGATGTATCCCATGGCTTTGATAAGTTTGTCGCCTTTATCTCCACCGTGCTTGGCCACATCGCCACACGAATTGGTATCGTCTGGATATCCAGCGGTACCAAACCCGATTCGGGAATCACTGCTTCCGCAATCATCTTCATTGTTGCCTACGATACCAATTCGTGCTTTCGAATGATTTGCTAGATCGCTTAGGACGTTGAAGCCTTCTTTGTTGCATTTTTGCTGTAGGGAGGCTTCACTGATGAGATTCTTCCATGCTTCTCGGCCCAGTGAGGTTTGGCGATATTGGCCATCAGCTATCAGGGAGTGCAGTGAGCTTGCCTCCTGGTTCAAAACGATGAACTTACTTTCTGCACCAACCTTCATACCCAGGCAGATCTTAGTAAAGGAGGTGCTCCAATAGGTTGGCAACTTGGTCTCTCCGGCGTCCAAATTTCTCCCGTTGGAGGGTTCGTATTCTTTCTTGTCGCTCCATAAAGGTGAGTCATATTTGAATGTGGACTATGACAGTAAACAAAAGAGTCTTAAATAATGGCTGTAAACATATTAAATTCATATGTGCGCACTGCGGTTGAAGAAACCGGAATATAGAATCGATCCTCGCAGTTATGAACATAACTAAACTAGTAGTTAAAAAAGGCCTGAAAAACATCAGCCATTATTCATATGATTTTCATATGTTTACAGCCATTATTCACCACTTCGAAGGTTTATTTGGATCCAACATAATGACCAGCTCCCAATTAGCTTGCTGGCTCAGTTGGTAGAGCGCTGCACTGGTCATAGGTTCAAATTCCGTACAGGCCTGATGTTTTCAACTACTAGTTCAGTAGTGTTCATAGCTGCGAGGATCGATTCTATAAAAGGGTCTTAAATTTTGCATCGTGTTGCACTCTTAAGTCGCCCTCATGGTGTTTCAAAAAGTAATTTTATGTCTCCCCCTATCACTTCATGAAATGCGCGACTCAAAATTTTAGAATTTTGTCGATAAAGTTGTCACATGGTCCAACCCAAGTGATGAATGTTATAAGACTGGATATTATCTTTCCTACTTTCAACATTAAGCAACAATGATTCTGTTCTATCTGCTTCGTTGCAGACGGCTGACCAGTATTTTCCAACAATCCTTTGAAATACGCAGACATTTATTATTGTCATATATAAGAGGACCTTGATAATTGCTCAAACCCAGGGCAAAACATCATCCTTTTGAACAAACATTAACTTCAACATTCTAAGTGTGTTTTTTTATGTCACTATTGTCATATGTTCATCACGATATTTTTAATTTATACGTATCATTCTTTGTATTCAAGTCTTTTCTTTAATTGTTCATGTCATCACATCTTCTTATCCGTCGAAGACGGTAGACTGAAAGCTTACAGTGACTTTTACAATACTTTTTTTTGGCGGGAGAACGCTTCTATAAATATTTTTGTTAATGATTCCGGTAACAGATATTCATGTTGCTGCTCCAGTTTTTGGAAATTAATCAATGCTTCGGGTTTGATATTTGCTACATACTAGAGAGGCACTTTGATATGGTGCTAAATTACTGTATTGCGTATCAAGAACGGACATGGAATGAAACTTAATCATTGCATCTAACATATACTAATGAAAAAGCTCACGTGAAATATTTCAAGGACAGTTCAAGGACAATGTGAGTGGATGAAATGGCAACTCTTAAACTACCTTTGCGCCATCAATCTTCATGACCAGCGTCCATCCTCCACCTCCACAGTCGCCGAGACCAGCGCCATCCATGTTACAATAAACAGGCAGTTTCGTGAATTCGTCCACCTGGAGCATGTAATCCTTGTTCGCTCTTAATCCACAAAAAAAAAGAACTTTTTTATTAGCATAAATGTGAATATTTTTTATTTCCAGTGTTTTTTGTATAAGCTTAAGCATTAAGATATTATGACTACTTACTTTTCCCCGTCTTCAAAGCCGTATTTGCAAGACATGGGTGGTTCTGGAGGCGGCTCTAGATAAAAAAAAAGGGATACCCAAAACTTTAAACTCTTCTGTTGGATTTTTTAAGCCTTGGTTTCACAGATTTCTATAGAAAGAGATATAAAAGTTGAAAATATAAAGCAAATAAAGATTCGACGAATGAATTTGAAAACTACATTTTTTATTCTACCTGGGCAAGGACATTTCAAATTCTCAATCATTTCCTTGAGTTCATCCAACTTTGCGTCAG